TGCTCTGCTGCGGCCTGCATGCGGCTGCCGCTTCCAGCTGGAGCGGGCGCTTTCCTCTCGGTAATGGTGCTGTGCGGGCGTGCATGTCTAGACAGAGTGCATGGGGATTCTATAATCTGCAGTGACCTGCAGGATCCCGTGCATGCAAGGGTGACAGTCCTGCGGCCTGCCTTCAGTTTATACAGCGCATAAGTTTATGTAAGAGCTGCGTAGTGCTGTGTGCGGGCAATCCTCTGGGGGGCGCTGTGCTCCATGTACACACATGCAGCTCTAAACACTGCTTATCTGCCAGCTATGGCACCTTGAGGTCAGGATCACATTGTGCTGACATAACAGGCCTGAAATAATCTGAACAGCTTGCAGTGTTTTTGTCTGTGCAGAGTCCATCCATAGTGATTTATCTTTTCCCATGGCCTGCAGTGTATATCTTAACATTCACTAACAGATTTAAAAAAACATATTTTTTTGTTCAGCCTATGGACTGATCTGAGCCCTCCCTAAGCGGATCGCGTCCCTCCCGCCCTCCCTAACCGGATCGCGTCCACCCACACTAAACAGGACAGGAGCACAGTTGAGGGACAGTGGGTACCCCATAACAGGAAGTGCCTAAACAAGAACAGTGGGTATTCCATAGCAAGCAGTGCCTAAACAAGGACCTTCATGGTGGGATTGCCAGGGCTTGATTAAATAAAAGCTACAGAATTCTGCTCCCTAATGCTTTGTAACTTTGGTTATGAACATGATTTGATTGTAATCTGTATGCATTGGAGTGCCAGACCTGCTTTGTCAGAGAAAGGGCTTACTCATACTAGCACTTTGGTCTGCAGTTTGCCTTCTGTCCTATTTCTTCAGTCCGCACCAAAGCGCTACAAAAAAGTAGGACATTTAGCATTTTTACACAGCAGGCTATACTGCAAGGCAACATGCTGCCTTACTAAGTTAAAAGGAACTGTCAGGTTTAGTAAAGTTTAATAAAAAAAAGATCAAAGTTATGTATACAACTCATTGCAGCACACGTGCACAACGTACATCAGCAGGCATTGGTCATGTGCACCTTAACGTGCACCCGCTGGTGTGAATGGGCCCTAAATGTGGTTTTGAACTAAACGTTTGTTTTTCCTTCCAGGAATAGACCAGAGGGTAAAGTGCTGGAAACGGTGGGGGTTTTTGAAGTGCCAAAGCAGCAGGGGAAATATGAAACAGGCCAGGTAAGGATTTCTAAGTATGTTGACATTAGATATAATGTGACCTTAAAGCTGAACTTTAGATATATAAAACGCACCTTTTTATTTTAGTTATTTATCCATTAAATAATTTAATGTACAATTATATAGAACTAAATGAAATACCTAATATTAGCCTTTTTGAAGCCACTTCACAGCATCACTCATACTGGAAAATAGTCTGCTCCTATTGGTCCTATTGCTTTGCACAGGGTTGCCATCCAACAGTGTGAGCTTACTTTATAGGAGCAGAGAGCAAAATTATAATGTTAGTATGCTGCTTATTAATCTATTTCAAAGTTGGGGGTTGGTTTTTTCTTTGACAGTATTAATAGAAAGTAGGGACGTTCATATACCAGTTCAGATACCAAGGCCGATACTTGGCATTTTCACGAGAACTACCAGCGTTGCAGAAGTTACAGCTGGGACCTGGCTCTGGCACTCCACCACTGTCCTGAAATCATTAGTCGATATTGTTTTAGAAAAACTGTCGCATGACAATAAACAAAAATGTATCAGTACTTATATGCGTGAGTACTTGGACAAGTATCAGTACTTGAAAAATGGTATTGGTGTGTATGTATATATATGTATATATGTGTGTGTATATATATATATATATATATATATATATATATTATATATATTTGCTGCCATGTCAT